CGTGTTTGACGGGTAGCGCGGTTGTTTACCCCTTTTCCAATCGTGAGGACATACCGACAATGTTGTATCTGTTCACGCCACCATAGTTAAGATTGTAGGACCGTTTGAGTACGTCACAACATGGCCTGTTATCAGAGCAAGGCCAATGATAAAAGCGTCGCTTCGTTGTTCTTGCCCTCAGCAGTCTTAGAGACTCCGATCGGTCACCATGAAAGTCCTGGTCCTCCTAGCGATTTGTTTGGTGTGCGTAAATGCCTTAGAAGGCAAGCGCCGTACTAGGGTAATTCGTCAAACAGCCTCCGGTGAGTGGACTATTCTAACACACGATTCTGCTTGATTATTTAATTGTTTCTTCATTAATGGATTCAGGGACATATATATATTACCAGCCATGCTAACTTGGACTACACTTAACCATACACAAGTGATATATTTATGGAAAGTTCAGAACTGTTTAGATACCGGAAAATACTATTGCGCTTTAAATGTTTGATATATTGATATAATGTTGCATTCAGAAAAAAAACTTTGTAGACAACGCTTTTGCGCGACTAGCTGACATATATATTTCACGACTTAAAAAAAAGAAAATACGTTGGATTTTCGGAAGTATAGTTTCCAGACAAATAATATCGCACAGAGCAAAGAAACAAATTACGCTGTAACTTCATACATTTCTTTATTTCACAAATTCCATTTCTATGAAATTATTCAGAAAAAAATTGGAGTTATTTCTATAATATACATTATTGTGAGTCAAAGGAATTGCATTGGATATGGTATTTAGCTAATTCTGCTAAAGAATCATGATTTAGTTGTTTACTGTGTTCTTGAATACTTGTGTGATCGTGTGAATGTTTCGGTGCTGTGGAAGATTTTAAGTACAATTCTAGAAAATAGATAAATTTTCCATCGATTCCTAAAGCAATTCTAATGAGAATAAATATGCTACCACGTGAATAATTATAATCGAAGATACATCTTAATGCCATCTTTTGAGTAAATCTAAATACCTTATATTGCCTTAATGTAAACCTGTAAAGTCACGGAATTTAATTTCAATCTTACCGCACTGAAATGCATATCATTAAAATGTTCGAAAGTGATTCCGGAACATAAATGACAGAAAACAATACAAAGTAATCTGTACAGGTTGAAACATATATGAGGCGACTTAAATAAATAAGATTTGAAATTGAGTCTACCGTGCACGCATAATAAATTCCCAATATACTTACATCCGGTTTATTTAAATTATTATAAATGTGAAAGTAAAGGGAAAAGAGAAAACTGAAATAAATATCACTGTTTGTTTAGTGTTAACACATTTGACTGACTTTCACTTTCCCTATGAATGTTTCTGATCATCACATTTCAACCAATACGACAATTCTTGCTATGGCCTTTCAAACCAAAATTTCGGTTTGCGAAAAACACAGATAACAATAGATAACATACATTATTCTGAAACCATTCAAGGAAAAATAAAGACAATAAATTCAATCTGATTAAATGCAGGTTCCAAATCTCGTTCCGTTATTCTGATAATCCTATGTGGAAGGTAACTGGGCGAGAATGAGGATCTGCATTTTAATGTGAAATAGAACGAGACATGCATTGCAACTTTGTCTGATACTTCGTCAATTACAGACAGTAATGATTCAGGGATCTGTTTTAATATTTCCTTTATTGATTATTACTCTAATTCTTAAATTGTTTTTGACTTGAATTGACAAATTACGACAACACATATTTTCAGCTTACTTACAGAATCAAAAACACATCATACATATGTCAAACATTTTACAAATGAGGCAGTCCTGGAATTAATGAAAATTATGCGAACATTTTGTGAAATGTCTTCACATTCTCCTTTATATGATTTTTAAAGTTCTTTTTATTGGAACTTTTCTCGTGTGTTTTTTTCCGTTGAATTAGTACATAAATTTCAGGACGGATTTTTTTCTTGAAATTTGTATATTTCGTTCCAGCTTTTATTATATCATTTCAAATTTTACACGATGTTTATGATGTTCAATCATGACAATATGAACTATCAGTTGAAAAACTGCAAGCTGCAATGACTCATTGGTTTACAATGAAACCTCACTATAAAGATAACCTTGTGGGCTGGACGAAAGCGATATCTTAATAGCAGTGTTTGTCTAAACATTGAGTATGACCAAACCGACTTTTTTCTTGGTATTCACATTAGTATGTAGGTTTTATACTATAAAACATAGTTATTATACTGAAGTATTTAGATTGGCATATATATATATATGATCCAATGCAATACGCGCCATAACACCTTGTAATTTCTGTCAGTAGATTAGCTAATGAGGTGAAATTCAGTGCAATGGTGATATTTGAGACCTTTTAAAACTGGTTTGAAATGCAAAGTGGTCTTAATGATGAGATGTTCGTCATAGGGAGATGTACAATACCAAGACAGATTTTTTTCGGGACGGAAATAAAATGACCTGAATATTGAGGTGATGTTAATTTTGAGGTGGTCTTAGGTGTGGTTGCATAAAAAACTTTACATAAAATTAAATGGAAGAATTTCTGAAGACACGTACTTTGTATCTGACAGGTTGTAACAATCTATTTGGAATATTACCTTACAGAAAAAAAAGTTGACTATTTATTGTAAACCGATAAGGATATAGCATGTCACGGAAACTAACACTGGCAGCATTCAATGTCAGGCTTTTCTAAACAGGTCAGTAGATAGCACGTGAAACGAACCGGATGTCTGACACTACCTGTCTTATCCAATCCCAACTTGCACGAACTTGTATGTGTCAGCAATTGATTTCATATATATCACGTGACCTACATGCACGTGTTTAATAAAGCATGACTTAATGAGAAATAAGATGTTGTTGAGATAAAGGACGTACTCTTTTCCTGTTCCTAGATATGAGTTTCTTGTTTGTTTTAAAGAGCATTGTTTAATGTGGTGACTGATTTGCAGTTCATGGTTCCATCTTCCAATATGAAGAGACCTATTAAGTTGAGATTTACACAGAAAAAATAACATTATATATATTTCTATGAGTCTTCGGACTCTGTTCTTATTGAAGTGTCAAATTGGACTAAATGATAATTGATAGAAAGGCATTTTGAGACGGTTTTAATAACTTATACCGAGATTCCGTCATCAAAAACAACAAAGAAAATACCGAAATATAGGATAATATTTTAGATCGAGATTCATGTAAAAGTACAAGGAGTATAAGAATAGGTGTTCCGGAAGAGTAAGCGTCTTCTGGTTTATCGATGACTCCCGTCATGTAAATCTTGGTCAATCTAAGTCAGTAATGTCAAGTTCCCAACTGATAACAAGGTTAACAACGGCAACACAAATTTCGTTAAAAAAATACCCCACAATCTTCATCTGTCTGCATTTGTGTCTCGTGCTTTTCTGTCAGCTGCCGACATCTTGCACGATAATTACGATACCGGAACAAGCACTTGAAGTTAGGGATGCAGTTTTTTTCACAATTTATCCAGAAATTAATACAATCACGATAGAGAAATTAATATAATCAGTCTTGGTTTAAAGCTGTCTCTGTTGTTTTCGTCCCAGAAAAAAAATCATGATAAGCGACTAATGACGTGTGTGACCGGTTTTGATAATCTCTTCTATAAATTCGGCATCGTATGGAAACAGAAACCAAGAAAAGATAACCAAGATTGGTCAAAGTAAGTTCCCATAGGTATGCCAAACTTGTAATGTAGGTGTGGATTGACCAATGGATGTTTTAAGCATAGCGTGTACTACAGAAATTGTTGTTGACACATTACAGTGCCTGATAAGTCAATCTTTGCCTGGTCAGTGATTTTATTAGAGAAGTGAAATTCAGTTCTTAACTATCTCGTTTGCAAGGTAGTATCAGCGGTGAGATGTAATGTTGAGGTAGTCTTTATGCGAGGTTTCACCGAAGTCTATTTTGCATATCTGTATCCTTACAGGACTGTTTGTACATTTAGTATTTGATGACTTATTCCTGTTGGAAATAACAATTTTTAAAGATATTTATTTTGAACGTTTGCCGTTAAATCTATACCTTGAATTTTCGAGAGTGGTATTTTCGGATAAGTACATAATTGCAAACAAATGTGTCGTGTTATTTTACAAAATCAGAGGTTGAGGATTGAGAAATCAGTAAACCTTCTCTGACTTCTTGTGTGAGGCGAATAATGTGGAGATCATATGGATAATTGGGAATCGCATTTCATGACATCTTTTGGAACTCTAAAAACAACAAAATCAATCTGTTGCAGCACTTTCCCCAATGGAAATACCGTACCATTCGATTTTAATGCTTAATGCTTGTCCTAAGCAGGGAAAATACTTATTTCTGCCCACTAACTCGATGACAAAGACAAAACGAAAATTCGACACCGTCTGCTTGACTTACAACTCTATATTTATCATTGTCTAGATATGGTTTATCCAATAGTCTGTTAAATGTGACTCGTTAAGAAAGTGACAATGAGCTGCCCCCATCATCCAAAGGCGTCGTCTTCATACTGTTTTAGAATGCTTTAGAACTTCAGATTTTAGAACTCCAAATAAATTATTTTCTTTTAAATGGAATAACATCTATCCAGGATCTAAAGAAAATGTGTTTAACAGACGAATCCAATGTTGAGAACCAACACACTGCCATACATTTCAAATTCGGCTTATGTTTGACAAAATGAAGCTTCAACATATCTTCCAAAGATCAACATTTACTTTTGTGTATAAATCGGCGATTTATGTGTTTGTTTATGCAATTTATGATTACATAATTAATTAATCAGACATTTGTTGTTTATTTATTTGCATCGGTAAAGCGTTTCAACCGACAGTTATGGTAAATATTTATATGTAGTATAGACGTCGGGTCATCAGAAAATTAACATTAGGATCCCGTCTGAATACTTGAAAAAAGGTTTGATACCAGACTATTCCATCCAAGTGCAAAATAACATGATGTTTTCAGGCGGAGGATGTTTATACGATGGAAAGGTCTACCAGCAGGGACAGACTTGGACTGTACCATGCAAGTACGACTGTACATGTCAGGATGGCACTGCCGGCAAGTACCAGTGCACAGAAGTGTAAGTAAACACGTTATTAAAAGTGTTTTAAGGGAAAACCATTATTTCTTAGATTTATTGCTGGTCGCAGTGTTCCCCTATGCGTCATGGTGGAAGATATATGATATATATATACATAAGAATTCAGCATTCTATCCTAATTTTCTTCAAATAAGAATAAATTGAACATTGATCTTCATAATGCTACAGATGAATGGGGCTTTCAAAATCATCTAACCGATGTTATAATCTATATCGCAGATGTCCACACTATGACAACCTGCCTCAGGGCTGTTATATGGTTCAGGAACAAAATTCTTGTTGTTCCAAACCACAGTGCAACTTCCAGACTACTGGCGATGGTGCTCATGGCCAAATGCAGACGGGTAGGTACAGGAACGAAATAGCTGTGAAACTTTATAAGGAATATGAGCTAAACTACATTAACATGTTTTGAATATTTGCTCTAATCTCTTTTTGGAGTCTTAGTATGCACTATCTAGCTGATTAATGGAAGTAACATATGTTAGTGGTAAAGAAGATGCTTGAAAGGTTTCGTCTTAAATGTTAACAAGAATCTAATTAATGTCTGCACGAGAGGTTATCATCGCAAATTTAAAACGTGGATTAAATTAGTAACAGTTAACTTTCAAGATGGCTATCATCACAAATTAATAAGCTAAAGGTGTCATATCCTCTCGATTTGAGGTTTCGAGGAATGCCATTCTTTTCCGGTTGACAGGCCCTCATATTAACCTAAACAATGTCAACAAAGGTAAATCGTAACAGGATATGAGATACATATACACGGATATAAGTATATCCCTATATCTATATGCATACAGATGATTACTTAGCTCTATGAAATACTTCCTTTTTATATGGTCTTCATGTTCTGAGTAATTACCTCGTATATCTGGCGATAAGACCAGGTACTACCTCGGGGTTCATGTTGGCTATTGTCTGTTGAAAAGCATACTGAACAGCAATGAATATTGATGGGTGTGTTGCAAGGCTTGGACGTATGATCGCTTAGATACGATACATAAAGTTTGTTGTTAAAGACATTGGTGCTCCCTTTAAATTATATAATTGAATTATCGTAATAGCCCTTGACAAATTTTGATATGACACACATCGCAAATCCGAAGTAGTACCTATTTGGAAACATCATCTGTGTTTTAAACGTGTTAAGTTATAAGGATGACTCGATCAATGAGTCATGTTTAACTCTGATTAAGAACTTACATAAAGATATGTTTTAATAACTATCACAGACATGTACGTAAACGCAGGGTAAAGGATATAATTATATTTCAATTTTATAGTCAGTACATGTTTCTCTTCTGTAGGTGATGGATCTGTTGTGGTTCAACAAGGTGGCGGTGTTGGAAATCTACAAACAGGTTAGTATTAACACTTCTCCCGAATTCCATAAATTACATTTTGTAGAGTCATGTAATTATATTTTTAATTAGTACGGAAGGTATGCGGACACTTTCTGCTTACAGAGCGTGGGGAAACTGATAATCTCGGTGGATGTCTTTTCTTGTGTTAAAAGAAATAGATCTGTTCGCTTTATTTCATCTGTTATTTTTTAACGAAAAAACAGATGTCATTGTCAGTCATAATTCACGAAAACAACACTTTTGAACTGTAAATGATGTTATTTGGTGATAAGAATGTTATTTATAATTAACAAGAAAAAACAAAATCCCAAAAATGAAGAAAAATATCACTTTATATTGTACAAATGACAAACAAGTGAATATACCACAATTGGACATAAATTAAAAATTAAATACAGTATAGTTGAAAATTATCAAACTGCATCATGCAGTAGTTTAGCCTTTCTAGGAAACGTCAATGATGTTACAAGCATAAATTGTAGAAACCTAGAAGACAATCAAATTTGGCTGAAAACGTTATATGTAAGCAGTCTGATGCATCATTATTCTTTCATTCTCTTTATATATAAAATACTTTGAGTTGACAATATAATTACGTATATTGATATTTTAAATGTGAATGTAGGAAAACTATGATTAAATGAAAATGATAATAGTTGCATCTAAATGCATAATGACGTTCCGAGATGTATTTTTCAAGTGCGATTTGGAAATAAATTAATTTTATGACAGTCTATACAGGTATGTAAATGCAAATATGTAGACACCAATCTTGTTACAAATTTGTCACTGATTTCTACAGTGTGATATGTGTCACATTTCACACTGTATATATATGGTTATGTGGAGAAATGATCAGAGAAAGAAAAATACAATAAGTTTGAACAAAAGACAGACAAGTTAATAGCACCCATAAATTCAAAAGTTAGACCTACGTACATTAGGGCCAAACAATGAGATATTACACTTTCATTATTTCAAATCATCGACTGTAGTCGCATGTCAGGATACACTGTCCAATTGTGGTGATTATGATACATCCACGTGCAGCAACCCGGAATACGCAACATGGGCCAAAGACAACTGTGCCAAAACGTGCAACCTTTGTGAGTTTTACTATGGATTAATAGTGGCAATTGCAATATTTCAATGTGTTAATACCATAAGAATGCTCTTGAAACTGCAACCAATCAATCAATCAATCAATCAATCAATCAATCAATCTTATGAACGTACAAACGCTTTATACATTGTGATATACTCTTCTGACTTATCTTTCAGGCGGAATGACAGGTAAATAACAGTTTTGAAATTCCTGACGTATCATGCTTACAAACGAATCTACAAGCAGTACAGTACTATGTATTTATAACGGCAATTGTAATACTCCAATACGTTGACACTATAAAAGTGCCCTTTGAAACTGTAACCAATATTAATCAATCAATCAATCAATCAATCAATCAATCAATCAATCAATCAATCAATCAATCAATCAATCAATCTTATGAACGTATGAACGCTTTATACATTGTGATATACTCTGACTTATCTTTCAGGCGGAATGACAGGTAAATGATCGTTTTGTAATTCCTGACGTATCTTGCTCACAAACGAATCTACAAGCAGTACAGTACAATGTGTCAATAATGGCAATTGTGATATTTCAATGTGACGACGCTATAAAAGTGCCCTTGAAACTGCAACCAATATCAATCAATCAATCAATCAATCAATCAATTAATCAATCTTATGAACGTACAAACGCTTTATACATTGTGATATACTCTCCTGACTTATCTTTCAGGCGGAAACACAGGTAAATAACAGTTTTGTAATTCCTGACGTATCATGCTCACAAACGAATCTACAAGCAGTACAGTACTATGTATTTATAACGGCAATTGTAATACTCCGATATGTTGACACTATAAAAGTGCCCTTTGAACCTGGAACCAATATCAATCAATCAATCAATCAATCAATCAATCAATCAATCAATCAATCAATCAATCAATCAATCAATCAATCAATCTTATGAACGTACAAACGCTTTATACATTGTGATATACTCTCCTGACTTATCTTTCAGGCGGAAACACAGGTAAATGTTGCTTTAGTTAACAATTATTGTCTTGTTGTTGCTTAGTTTACAGCTATTGTCTTGTTGTATCTTTCAGGCGGAAACACAGGTAAATGTTGCTTTAGTTAACAATTATTGTCTTGTTGTTGCTTAGTTTACAACTGTTGTCTTGTTGTATCTTGAGATAACAATTATTGTCTTGTTGTTGTTTTAGTTTACAACTGTTGTCTTGTTGTTATAAAAGTTAATAAGGGTAAGAATTTAAAAGTCGTTAAACCAATTTTTTAGGGGTTTCAGTTGATGTATATTTGTACTGAAGACAAACAAGTAGATAACACATTTAAATACATACTTGGATAAGAACTGCATGATACAGATTTCATACTTCTAGGACTTTACGGTGATGCTAAGAGGCTCAATATTAAAGCCTAGTAGGCGACGGAGGAAAAAGTTATCGAAAAAATAAATAAATAAATGAAATAAAATAGATAAATAAAAATAGACATAAAAATCTAAAATCTGAGTAAGTGCATAATTAAGCACTTTTTGTAAATTTCATGTATCTTTCGCTATGCAATATTGATTTTGAATAAGCAAATTCCGTTAATGACATTGTACAAGTATTAAGATAGGTGTTATTAATACTGTCATAATCTCTTTGATTTATTGATATCATTATCCGAACACCTTTTTGTGAACACCTAATACCGATGGTATCCATAATGGTATTTTAATGATTTCACCGATGAAACACCATTCAATGCAGTTTTAAATTGGGCAGTGTCTTAATAAGTATTAAAATTTACTTTCATTGCTTATCTAGGTGACGGCCAGTTCCATTTGTTCATTAACCGTAAGTATACGACTACTATTCATAATTCATTACAAATAAATATGGGGTAGCGTTGTATTTTTTTCTAATAATTACTAGATGAAAAAATGTAATTGTATGTTCTTTAACATGTTCGAAAATACATAGAAAATAACTACAAATCAAGGTAATTTATAGGTACGTTAAGTGTAAGTTATCAACACGACATCCCATTTCCGTTGATAATGAAGAAATAGAACCGAAGATTACCAAATCAACAGAGTTTTTTTATTCGTTGCTTTCGGCTTAACTTCAAATTGTCAGAAACAAAGTTTTAATTCGATCTGTTAAAGGTATTTCTAGATGTATCCTCTCTTAATTGGCTACTTTTATCAGTCAAAGAGAAACATGTCTGTGATATATTTCAGTTGTCATTGACCTCATCTCGGAACATATTTGAAGGTTATCATGTATTTATACAAATGTTTGTCATAATTACATTTAACGTAATTCTTCAAATTAATTTCATTGAGAATCCCTATTCATATATCCTGCAAGTGATCATTTAAAAACATTTCAGAAATACCTAATAATAATGGTTTGTGTGCTTATAATAAATGTAAATTTCAAACAATTTATTTTTGTATCTTATTTTAGCGGGTTCTGGAGGATCTTGTGAGTACCATATTTTTTTTACACATCATACAGGATATCTCAACTAATATTACGCTAATATAACTTAGTTCCGAATAATTGCAAAATATATTCATTCCATTCTTTAAAAAAAATATTTGAAAGCTCTAAGAGATGGAAATGAGGCAAACAATTAAACTCTTCGATTTTAAGGAATTATGACTAGATATACTAACTACGTGTTAAGCATGGTATTTTTAACGTAATTTATCAAATTAATTTCAGTGAGAATCCTTTATTTTTTTATCGATATATCCTGTAAGTGATCATTTAAAAACATATTTCAGAAATACGTTTTTAAGTGATCAAGAAAGTGCTTATAATAAATGTAAATTTCAAACAATTGATATTTGTATCTTATTTCAGCGGGTTCTGGAGGATCTTGTGAGTATCATATTCTTTCATAAAACATACATGATATCTTAACTAACATTACGCTAATATAACTTAGTTCCGAATAATTGCAAAATATATGCATTCCATTCTTTAAAATTTTTTTTAAAACTCTAAGACATGGAAATGTGGCAAACAATTTAAGTCTTCGTTTTAAGGAATTATGACTAGATATACTAACTAGGTATTAAGTATAGTATTGTGAATGGAGTTTATTTGTTTTTTTAGCGTCCTGTTCTGATAAAATAAGTAACTGTGCGGCTTATACCCAGTCTGTATGTAATGACCAGCAATACAACCAGTGGGTCCTCCAAAACTGTCCTGCTTTCTGCAACAAGTGTGGTGAGTAAATTGAAACAATACTTTATGGATGCAAATAGAGACAGGCTCTTAAAGTGTTTCTTTCTCATATTTGATTTAGAAAACGAGCCTAAGAATTTTAAACTTTCATGAAATTCTAACGAGTTAATATTAAAAAAACCAGCCAATTATGATGATCGATTCTGATTCATCTCGTTTTGAGTAGAAATTCAAGCTTTTTTTTCAAATGAGTAATTATTTTTAATCATATTTTAGAACCCGTTATCTGTCATGTCAGACAGGACGTTTATAGTCATCCTTTTTGTGATTTTATCATGAAGTCAACTTGATATAAAATATGAAATGGGTTTATTCACAACAATTAAATACTGTATTTGCTGTGTATTTACCCTTGTATCTTGGTCTATAATTACAAATAAGTGGGAAGGAAAGTCACGCAAAAGCAATTTTAATGTTAGGTAAAATGAAAGAATTATAAAATGAACATACAGCTTGTTCCCCTTTTAAGACGTATAATTGATAGTACGTGCCTTAAGTGTATATAATGAATGCCGAGTACATTTTGGTAAAATGTGCTTGTGTATCGACTCCATAGACATGTTGGGTAGTAGCATAGGAAGTATGACAGGACATGGAACTGGGAGTGGAACCGGAACCGGAACCGGAACCGGAATGTCTGGAGGAGCAATTCTTATACCCTCCATAGGCATGTGTATCTAAAATAATTATTTAGCTTTAAGTGTCGTTTTTGTTTCCAGCAACGCACGCCTAAGCTTACAACAAAACATGCGTGCTTCAAGCTTCTCACTCTCTAAGCAGTAATCTAGCATACAGATCTAAAACAATGTGTTATCTCTGATATTTAGATTGGATCACGACGCCGATGAATTTATATCAAATAGGTTCATGATGATATAAGTAATATCGTAGAAATATGCAATGTAAGCATAGCAATAAATAAGCTTACGAGATAGTTAAAAGATACTATTCAAATTTGTTTCCATTATGTCAAACAAATATATAATGATCAGTAAAAAAATCGTGAAGGTTCCAATTTTTATTACTTGTTATCATTAATGGAACGCATTTTAATGTCGGTCCTTTGAAAGTTGTATTATGTCACAAGTACCTAATAATCTACTTTGGACAAACATAGCATATTGGTATAAACATCAGCCAATGTCCCTGCTCGTATTGTTTTTCTCTATTGGATGGAGTCAGCTTTTGCTTCCATTAATTATATAAGAATTGCCTCAGCTTCGAGCATTTGAAAGTTACACAAACCAGTCTGTGTTACTTATATAATGCCTCCGACCACAGCGTATGGTGCTTGGCGATAATTTACAATCACAAACCAGGTGATGTGGTAAAGGACCATTGTTTGTAATATTTCATCGTTTTTTTATCACCGTATATTGCTTGTGTCATTGCATTATTGGTTATAACTATGCTTCGCTTTGTGTTAAAACGTGACAGAAAGCAGGAGATTATAGTTAAGGTAAAGTAGTTAAAGTTGAAAATATCATATCCGTTGTATGGTTGGTATTTCATTTTCCATGAAGCTTTTTCCCAAGTGTTTTTAGTCACTGTTTCGCCATTTAAATTTTTGTATGTATTTCTAATTGTTCAAAATTGATCATTTTGGATTACAGTCCCTATCCAATTGCGATGTACCATTTGTGTTTTGTATTTCAAATATGAGATTTTAATGAACACAGGTGGCGGATCTGGTTCAGGAACTTACAACCCCAACACCGGAACTGGTTCAGGAACTTACAACCCCAACACCGGAACTGGTTCAGGAACTTACAACCCAAACCCCGGAACTGGTACTGGAACTTACAACCCCAACACCGGAACTGGTACTGAAACTTACAACCCCAACACCGGAACTTACAACCCCAACACCGGAACTGGTACTGGAACTTACAACCCCAACACCGGAACTGGTACTGGAACTTACAACCCCAACACCGGAACTGGTTCAGGAACTTACAACCCCAACCCCGGAACTGGTACTGGAACTTACAACCCCAACACCGGAACTGGTACTGGAACTTACAACCCCAACACCGGAACTGGTACTGGAACTTACAACCCCAACACCGGAACTGGTACTGGAACTTACAACCCCAACACCGGAACTGGTACTGGAACTTACAACCCAAACACCGGAACTGGTACTGGAACTTACAACCCCAACACCGGAACTGGTACCGGAACTTACAACCCCAACACCGGAACTGGTACTGGAACTTACAACCCAAACACCGGAACTGGTACTGGAACTTACAACCCAAACACCGGAACTGGTATTTCAATTTTATTTTCCTTATCCGTTTTATCTTATTCTTATCCTACTCTAGAATTCGAGGAAATCCTTTTTTCAAAATCTATTTGAGCAGCTGGCGTTTTAATATGAGTATGACATATGCAGAACTTTAATAAAGAACAATTTATACGAAACCAAAATAATAATTTAAGACGACTAATTCCAAATGTCCTGATTGTTTGATCAGTTCTACATAGATATATGTCTGTTTTGCTAATTTTTTCTGTGTTATCAATGTCCTTGCTAAAAGCCACACATTCACACACACACATATATATATATACACCTATTTATACGTATGCTTCATTACGTTTCATTTGTGTGCGTATGATGAAATCAGCAATTCCTTTTACAATGCTTTGTAAAATTAGCAAATTTGTCGAAACTTTGGCTTGTCCGACCAATGAAAAACGCTTCAGTTCGTATTACCTCGCTCTTAAGCTTAGGTATGTTTATGCCAAAAATGTACAGTGTTAACAAGTCGCATATGATGTCATAACATACTTGGTTTGCGGACTGCAACATACAACAACTATGATCATGAGAATGTTACTGTCATGACATCGATTTCAACTAACTGTCATTACTTTTGTCAAACAACTTTTTGTCGTCTCCTCGGTGTTGTTTGGTATTGATTTGAAAAAAGGATAAAGGATGCTGGGGAACCGTGATAAACCATTTTCTATAATACAGTCTACGATGGCGAGTTTCAAAGACAGCAGTTTTTCATCGTCATGTATCAGGACAACATCTTCAACTTGGAGGCGCATACAAGATTTTCATCGATGCAGTTAACTTCACAAAGTAATGAGAAAAAATTAATTTTTCACGATGCTAGAAAACTTCCAAACGACCATTCAGTTTAGCATGGCCATCGCTGCAAATGTCGAAATTTACAACCTCAATGAGAGGATAAGGTAAAGACCCGACGACCCAATGTGGTAACCGATTTTGATCGTTCGAATGACAAATTAATGATATATAGTGTGTCGTTTCGGTGACTACACAGTCACCTTCATCAGAAAAATGATGAGAATGGACAGTGTACGAGATGGTATCTATTTTCGGCTGCACTATAATCCTGTGTACACTAAAATCGGAAATAGTGTGACGAGATGGTAAACAGATCACAGACAAAAATACACAAAACGGTAACCCTGTAGTAAAATTGACTACGCTTTGATTAACACTTCGTCATACATGAGCGATAGTCTGTGGCCCCCATCGTCCCTGTTTGGTACTGGCTCACTATGGCGTATCCAGACAGCTTTCCTAACTGGCCTTCTGAAAACGTTGTTTTTCTTGTCAACTATTTTGATTTCTTTTAACAGTATATTTTTCTGTGTGTGGACCGATCTGTAAGCGTCGAAGTCTTACCTGGAACTGATGATGTTTTAATTGCCTTCCTTGGATTTTGCCTCTTTCTGGTGTTCATTTAGTCGGACCCGAATATTCTGCCTGATTCTAGGATATATGATAAATCGCAGTCCTTGCATAAAGTCTAATTTTGTATACGCATTCTCCGATGTTCTCTTTTTTTAAAGTTTTATTCTTAGGTTGAACAAGGAAAATTCAAAGAGACATGAGAGGTTATAAGGCTGTTGCAATACCATGTAAACGGTAAATCCTCTGAATGATTTCTGATAGGCCTTGAATAGAAGGGATGGCTACTTGTTTTTTTGTTTTTGGTGGTGGGGGGTGGGGGCTTGGTGTTTCGTCTCTAAGTCATTTTCGTTTTATCCAATAAGTTACTAACTTGCTGGGTTGTGAAATCAGGATAATGATATGATTTCATGGCGTTATGGAAATTATTTTGTTTTTGGTCCGTGTGCGTCTATTTTCTACAAATCAATATTTGGATAGAAGCGTCATCTTTCTTTTCTATGAGGTTGTAAAGGGATGACAGTGCCATTTATTTCTTCCTTACGGTTGAATTTAATGTTGCTGGTGGTATCTACGGTATTGTATGTTCAGTCAACTCTTTCTGTAATTTTTTCCGGCTATTTCTAATATATCATCATCGTACCGCTTACACAGTCAGGTCTTGTGTTCTACAGGAGCTATGGCTATAGCCTCTTTCTCAAAGCGCTCCGTGAATAATTTGGTCACATTCGGGGCCAATGAGTTGCCCATGTCGGTGCTATACAGTTGCTGATACTAGGAAGATGGTATCTCGGAAGGCATAGTATGTTGTTTTAAACACAAGTTCTAGTAAATCCATGAGGTCTTGGATAAGGAGATTGGTGTTCTTTCGCCATGGCCGTCTTGTTCAAGGCGGCCCCGAAATATACTAGGCTCTTTGTCAGTGGATGTGTTGTTGAAAGGAGACACAAAATTGTGTCAAAATGAAACAGTGATCGTTTTGGATAAGTACTGTGTATATTTTCTTGTCATATCCGGATTTTACACTCTGCTTACCATGAATAATGTTAAAGATGGACTGATCTGTTGTATCACATTTATAAAATTTATTATCTAATTTCTAAGTCTGTTTTCTTTTGGTTATCATTTTCACCATTCTGTAAAACACTATCAAGAACTAATGCTGGGCGCAATGTCGACAATGGATATCAGCTCCCAGATCTAAGGCGTGTCGTCCAAGAACTGATCTGCATGCACACTTTGAATAAAACGATCGGTAGGATTATTGTTTATATTTGGATGATATCGGCACTGACGTGTACATGCTAATCTGGATAGTCTGACACGTACGTCATAACCGACGTAGATGTTGGCACTGCTCCTATCCTACCTGGCAAGTCTGCTCTTTGTCATAACTAGTATGATATGAGTGTTGACATGCCCTTATTCCCTTAGTTGTATCAGTCAACACATGTGCAAGTAAAGATTCCGATGTTGAGCGTAAAGTGTTTCGGAATTTCTGAAATTACAGCAGTGATTTTCCATCTACACGGCGAATGCCAACGATGAAGCAGAAAACGCTTACCCTTCCGAAACACGAGGTTTAATTTTTTGTGTGAGATTTCAGGAGTCTCAGTATAAATGTTGGTTGGTTTCATAAATACTTTAGCGTTGACAGGTGACTCAGCATATTTTCTGTCGATTTAGCCGCCATTGGCAAGCACTCCTAAAGATGAGTGTTTACAATTTGATTTACAAATGTCAAGAATTTGCTCTTAAAACAGAGATGAGGTAAATGTGATCAATGTTTCCTACACTTGCTGCTAAACATTTCAATTTACGTATCAGCTTACATTTTGTAATGGATGTGTTAACATACGGCATTTGATTAATTCTAATACAGTGTGACATATCGTAGTTGAAGAATTGATGCATTTTGAAATTTACGCTTTCCAATATTACAAAGTCGTCAAAGACCTTCTGATCAACTCCGTATACGGTTTGCATCATTTAGTGGAAATGAAAAGAAGGAAGCAGCACAAATTTGAATCATATGTAATAAAGCCATGTAAAATGGTATGCAGTAATTTTTCACTGTGTTAATATCAATGATAGAAACACTAAATGAGCGCATAGAAATTTATCAAGACATGTTGGTTGAGCGTTATATGTGCTTTGGACTCTCGATATCATGCTTGCTTTATTGCGTTTACACAGCATCATTGTGCGTTAGAGAAATGAAACGAATTGAATTTTCCAAGATTCTCTCTCATAATCTCCTCATAAAATATATGAAATATTAGAGGAAAATTTCGCCATTTTCGATATAGTATTTAAAATCTGTATACGACAAGGGATTCAGAAGATAAACCACGAAAAAAGAGATACAAGTCACACAAGCTTCTACACACGTGGAAATCCTAATAGCTTGAACGCATATTTCCTTACCATTCAACGCTAGCTTTTCATCGGCAGAAAATATCATACTACAAAGGCTTTAAGCTTCAGAGATTATGGCGAGATTGTCAACAACTGTCTTTGGAAGGTGACGGCTTTAATGGTGCATTCGAGCATAGAAGTTGTATACTTCATACCGGCTTACAACAGTTGGGACAGGGCAACTTGCTACCACCCTTTTACGGTCCATTCGAGGATGCCTATTGCTTTTCTATAAAATAAGAGAAAAACTATCTACGGAATATATTTTGTAACCAATGAGAATTTTATCATAAGGTTCTACTGGAACGGGTACTGGAACCTATCCAAGCGGGTCTGGAGGAACCGGAACGTACCCAAGCGGGTCAAGTGGAACTGGAACTTATCCAAGTGGGTCTGGTGGAACCGGAACTTACCCAAGCGGGTCTAGTGGAACTGGAACTTATCCAAGCGGGTCTGGTGGAACCGGAACCTACCCCGCAGGATCTAGTGGAACCGGACCTTACCCAGGTGGATCTAGTGGAACCGGAACTTACCCCGGAGGATCAAGTGGAACCGGAACCTACCCCGGAGGATCTAGTGGAACCGGAACTTATCCAAGCGGGTCCAGTGGAACTGGAACTTACTCCGGAGGATCTAGTGGAACTGGACCTTACCTAGGTGGATCTAGTGGAACCGGAACTTACCCCGGAGGATCAAGTGGAACCGGAACTTACCCAGGAGGACCAAGTGGAACCGGAACTTACACAGGAGGATCTAGTGGATCCGGATCTTACCCAGGAGGGTCTAGTGGATCCGGAACTGGAACAGGAGGTAGTATTATATCAAGTGGATCTGGTAGGTAGATCATGTTTAAAGTGTGATCTCGCTTAAAAATCGTGCAAGCCATTTTTGGAAATTGATTCATTGCAACGGACCTGCAAATATTACTTTCGGTACAAGATAACCTGTTATTATACACGCAATGCATATAAAAAATGACCTTTTGCGCTGAAAACGGCCACAGTATCAACATGAAACACTTTATGAAGATACAATATGGCGTTTTCATGTGTATACCAAGTTTATTTGCACAAACGAATTACCAAATCTGTCGGACGGTATGTCGTAACGAATCATATCTGGAAACCTGGATAAAATATATCATAGATATGAAATTTGGCGTTTCTACTATCATGATTTATCAATATGCTAAATATAGATAAAAAGAAAGATGTTTATCTGCCTTTTATCCTTCAGTGAATTTCATTAGAATGACCAAGGGGATTCATATTAACAAAATATTATAAACTTCGCTTTTTCCCCTTGATATATGTGCAATTCAGTTTTAAAATAGATGTTAGTGTCTTGCTGTCTTACATAAATTACATCGGGGGAAAATTCTGACTGTAATATATTATCGTCTTTTATCAGTCCGGTTGTACCCATATTTCTGATTCAAACATGCTTCCCACAATGTTTTAAATATCTATCTATATATAGATATAAAAAAAAATCGACACTGACTGCTAATAAAACAAATGTTATATGAATATTATTTTAGGCTCCTGTGGCGACCGAATCAACAACTGCGCTGCCTACGGCCAGAGTGTATGTTCAGACCCTACCTATCAGGGATGGGTGAAAGACAACTGCGCTCAGACATGTAACAAATGCAGTAGTAAGTAAGATAATATCTTTGAGGGGTTCTCGTGGATTTTCAAAAAACAATAAATTTTTGGGAACATGATTTTGTTATTTATGAATACTACTTAATTATCTGATTTCAGTTTCATTGATTGGTGGACTAATTTGTGGACAAATGAATTCGTGAAATCAAAGTGCTCACGAAATTTATGCTTTTTGCAGTATGAAACCAATGCGAATCTGATGTACCATTGTGGCATTCTCAACATATTTTTCCCGACATGAACTAAATTCATAATTGTTGTTCAAACATTAATGTCATAGATATAATTACCAATAGCATTTTGATTTTTTGTGATATGTGGTTAAGTAAATATTTACTATAGGATAAATATCTGTAATAACGTTTACAAAGAGTACTGTAGAAGAATGGATGTGTGTACACCTTGCCTAATTTTGTGACAGACGTATTTCATAACAATGCTTAAACTGATATCTGATTTTGGTATGTTAAAACTGTTATTTCTTTGGTTTTAGACCACAGTAATATCGATTCATCCTTTCAGTATCATTTATTATCATTATTACTTTATCATCTTGCACAATGGCACATAGTTAGTATTACAGGCCTATGCTGAGTTGGGGTGTGTATGTTGACTTACAGGTAGATATGATTTCAAATAGAACCCGTTAAAGAATAGATGTAGGATGTTATATACTATTTGTAGCACCGATAAAAAAATGCTTATATCAAAAGGAATTCTCATAGTCACTTATATCTCTACATGAACTCATTGCTTCACAAAGAGTACCCTTCGGACTTGTCTTGTGTTCCTCAAACTTTTTAGCGCGTATGTCCTAGTTTAATCTTCTTCTAGTTTAAGATTCTATTTATTTTTGTAAGTGTGTATCTTTTGTATAATTCTGTACGTATACACTTCGATTTTCCGAGCGTGGTAATAAGATTGTTGTCCAACGAAAACTGTTTCTCACAATATTGATAATTCTTTTTGATACTTCTCTGTATGCTCTTTCGTGAAGGATATATTTCTACCGTTAGATGATTTTCGTCACATGTCGTTTGTCTTAAAGTTTGTTTTCGTAACGCAAGGTGAAAATATATACTCTGAATCAATTTTCTTTTTCTTTTTTTTTTTTTGTAACTTTTCGAACAAATGATTTCTTAGATAGGTTAAGTCGAGATGTGAAAACTGTCAAAAGTTAACAGTATAAAACTAGTTTATGAACTATTTAAAGCATTTAAAAAAGTAGGTCCTAGATGAAGAGGAAGTTGTTCGGATATTTACATTTCGTTGTGTTTCAAAGGTGGTACCATGACAATGGGAACTAACACCGGAAGTGGATACTACGGACCAGGAGGCACTGGCATGGGCAGCTCGTCAACAGGAACCGGCTCATCTGGTGTGGTAACCGGACACTCGAACGGTTAGTGCTATTCGCATTTCTTTCTGCACACGACACAAAAACATATTTTTTCTGCATCAAATCAAAATTAAGATCTTAGTATACTTTTTAATATCTTTAAGAATGCTTAACTGTGAGAAAACTTAATTATGTGGATTTTAAAACAATTACAATTTTACGGACACCTTTTTAAGACTGCTTTTAGTAGTAATACATTTGAATAGAAATATATTGATAAAATTAATTGACGTTAATTACTTCGTCAACGCTTTGAAGCTGTATTAGACATTCATTTGAATGTGAACATAATGAAATTCATGTTGGGATATGTAGCCGTACAGTTAACTGTGTACCACATTTTAATGACATACTTCGGGACTTATCAGTCTGCTATCACCAAAAGTGATAATGAATGGTACGTTGTCTTCAGGCTGTGCCTACAAAGGCCAGGTGTATCAGCAAAATCAATCATGGAAGGATGGATGTGACTACAGGTGCACGTGCACAGATGGAACTCAGGGAAGATATACTTGCAAACAGCTGTAAGTACATTGTATATTTGCATTGGTTTGGTTAAAGACGGCATTGCTTCGAACAGTCATCAGACACCTGCTTTCTGTTTCACATGTAATTCTTTTAATAATTTGACAATTCAGTTATTAGACATTTAACAAATATTTTGCTCTTCATAACACTCGTACTTGATGATTAATGCCTACTTGTCATTATAAGATGTTAAGTTTCTGTTGCCTGAGAGTTTTTGCCAAATAAATTGAAATTCCTTGCAATGTTTGACACTGAAAATGCTTTATCAGAAGTTTTATTTAGTTTCAAAACTAGAATAAGGTATTAAAGACATGTCATATTTTTGCCACTGAAGAGCAGGAACTCAATTTGTAATATACCCATTTCAGTTAATAAATCATAGTTGCATATTCGCAATACATCCTTATGGCGAAAATTAGACCCATTGATAAGTAAATTTATGCATACTTAGGTTCAAAAGGATATTTCTCATTGGGTTGCTACATTGCCAATAAACGCATTGCTTGATGCTTAACAAACGCTTTGCTTTATTTCATTAACGTTTAGTAGTCTTGTACTGTTTTAAGAAGCTTGTCAGTTTTACAGGGCAATATTTGACACAATATTGTATTGATAGTCTTGCTGTGATTTCTAAGTAAAAATCATTGCTGACTGATCAGTCATGAGTCAATAAGCCGAGTACAACTTCGTTCATATACCATCCTTGCTAGCATTTCATAAACATAACGGGTCATGCATTTGTGCATTGCTTATTTCTTTAATTGCGAAACACACTGAAAGTTCCTCCCGCCTTTGTGATGGTAACAACCCTTTGTCGCTAAGCAAAGCTTTGATTTTCTTTAAGATGTGTGCAATGGGATCATCTCCCGAACGTTTGCCAGATGATGCCCCCACCCGCGGGAAAGTGTTGCAGGACTCCTAATTGTCCCAGCTACGTCCAACTGCATTACCCAGATAACTACGTCCCTGAATAAATGAAACATGGTGACGCTGAAGTCGGTGTTCTTTTGTGCATGCTTTCTGCCTTATTTCGGAAAGTTTGGTTTATAACACGTATCGTGTTGAACGAATCTCAATCAATAGACACGTGTACTATAAATAGACTTTGATATGATAAAATATACCATTCCATGGACGAAAAATCAAGCCGATGCTTACAGTGTTACAAATTGGTTTGCACAACGCATGTTTTGATCAACATATTAATTAAAACTTAAAAAGTTCAACAAAAATAAACTGTTACGTTTTATGACTTTATGTGTCAAATTTGTTTTTGGAAGTATGTAGTTCTCCCTTCGTAAAACACGAAATCATTAGCATCGATTTAATATCAAGGTGAAAGCTAGTACATATCAATATAAGTAAGTCAACACTTGCAGATATTTAAGTTTACAACATGTATACTTCGTTCTGGTTTCTTCTATATATATTATTCAGGTTCCTTTTCATGTAAGTGAATTTATTAAAATTTAATTCAGATTATCAACGACTAATACAATGAAAAGCGAATTTGATAAAAGAACATCAAAGCGAAATCGAGTCTTCTTTCACATAATCAATAAAAATCTTAACAAAAGCCGAATTGATTACAGGGCATTGTAACCATCTTGTGAAATTTTTTTGTTTGTTTAAATGTTTCCCATCTCGTCGAACTATTTTCGACCTTTATGTACAGCCGACAAGGTTGGTTGATTCCTCACCATCTCGTACACTACGTACATCATTTATCAGATGAAGGTGGCCGTGTAGACATCGTCACACTCTAATCTTCTACTGGCTGTGTTGTAAGATGAATGTTAATTTGTAGTTGTAACTTCTAGTCTATTGATATTACGTACCCGAAGAAAATGTTCTAAAACATACCTGATTGTTAATTATTTATTCGAAAGTTTATATTCACGTGTGCAGAGTATTAGGTTTAAATTGTATTAAAAAAATCTGAAACCATCGTGTCATCACAGACTTTTTAATAATTCTACTATATCTAAACATACATTGTATTAAAAAGGTGCTATTATTTGTATGTCACTTGCTCAATTCTTCAAATCTGCTACCATATAGATTATGTAATGGTTTTTTTTTTTTGATTTCTTCCTTCCTTTTTATTTGACTTCTGTTTGAAGAAAACAACGGTCATTTCCAAATAGTTAAGATTTCCATGCTATCCAGATATAATTCACACAAGATAACTAATACTTGAGCGTTAAAAGATAATATCACTGAATTATCCTTTCCAGCATTTAAACTGAATATTAACTTTTATTATACTCTAATATTTTGAATCAACGGAGATCACATCTATAAATACTGGTTATTATTGGAAGGTGTGTGACATGGAACCTACCTTCTGACTGTCACCTGAACCCCGCTCCAGCAGGAAAGTGTTGCCGTACTCCATCCTGTCCCGGAACGGTCAATCTCCATTACCCACCAAACTATGTAGCAGAGTAATGCTCCTTCCAGTTAATATTATTGCTCTAATAATACATTGTATATGGCATTAAATAAATAATTTATTATATAATTGTCTGATTTATTGTTATTTTGATAATTAAAAATTCACAATACATTACAATGCTGTATTCAGATAAATAAAACAGTTGGAGGTACTTAAGAATGTAAGTTTTGCACTCGCATCATTTTAGCAAATTAGTAACTTCACCAACCATCGGTGACTTTCTAGACTAGATCATTTCCATCCTAATAATGTGTTTAGGGGTTTGCTATTAAAAGTATTCTTTGAAAAAAAGCAAATCAGTTGGATTCTTGTTGGTTGAACGCCTCACTTCAATATCTGCTCTAGAAAATGTAGTCCGTGTAAAAATATTGTCCCGTTAAAAAAGAGATTTTGTTAAATCTTATTTATTTCCAGAGGAGCGCTTTTCAATAGTTCCCACGAATTTGACATCTGTACATAAAGGTAAAATTGGTTATAGACTGTATAAGCCCAGTTTATCTTTCATACTCAATACTTTATCTATATACCACTATAAGAATAATGGTACTATGTGATATTGTAAAATGAGAGAAGCATAATTGTAGGACAAAATTAATCATATTATGGTTATAGATAAATCAATTAGTCAAATGGTTTCTTTAGATTCTCAATAAACATATCAACACTAAAGCTATATCGCTATTGTAAACAGATTATCCTATGTAGCGTATGTAATATATATGTTTTTTATGTTTACTAGTTTGGTAAGTTGGGAAGTGATTCTATTAATTAATTCTATATTAAAACGAACGTGACAACCATAATGGTTCCCACAGAAAATACTTACAATTATAACCACAATATGTTTTATAATGAGTAGTGTTACTAGTAAAGAATTCAATAGCCAGCTAGTGTGATCATACGAAGGGAGATAACTCTTGAGCGTATCGTTACTTATATGAAGTTAGTATCCAGATTCGACTTTGATACATAATTTAGATAAAAAAAAGATTAATTTGTTTATGTTATTGGAGAATGAAAAAAGATTATATGGGTTTAATTATAATATTTAATGTTTATCTTTCATTAACAAGGAGTAACACACTGATCAATTTCAAAGTTTCAAAACACGAAAACGAGGATTTGCCTACCTAAAAACCATCGTTGTGGGTACCATGCTACTGAGTAACCAACTATTTCATCTATTTAAGTATAATAAGTAAACAATACAAACGTTAATTTTACTCACGAAAGAATGATTTTTATTTTCATCAAGATATTACAAACTGACGTTATTTCGCGAAGATATTTTAAACACGCGCGAAATTAAAAGGCATCGTTCGATGAGAAAACGTTACATAGGAGTCATTCAGTCGATAACTCATACTGATACAAGAGTGAGACAAGTAGTATTGATGTATAGTGCCAATAGGCAAGACAAAGACTATAAACCATTTAAAACAATAACGGTAGATTCTCTGAAGACTATACAACATTGTTTTTTTAGACTCAAGGAATCTGATATATACATATGTTTTATATATGTATATATGTTTGTGTGTGTGTTTGTGTGTGTGTGTGTGTTATATATATACGCAGTATACTGATGTAATAGGAGCGGGTCGGTGTGAAATGTATATAGTATTAAACACAGTCTCTGTCGCTCAGCTGACGAGTCGTTGTGGTTTGTATATAGTGTTAAACAAAGTCTCTGTCGCTCAGCTGAGGTGTTGGTGTGAAGTGTATATGGTATTAAACACAGTCTCTGTCGCTCAGCTGACGAGTCGTTGTGGTTTGTATATAGTGTTAAACAAAGCCTCTGTCGCTCAGCTGACGGGTCGTTGTGGTTTGTATATAGTGTTAAACAAAGTCTCTGTCGCTCAGCTGACGGGTCGTTGTGGTTTGTATATAGTGTTAAACAAAGGTGTGAAGTGTTTATTGTGTTGAACACAGTCTCTGTCGCTCAGCTGACAGAGCATGCTTATTTGGTTCAGTTGGTAGAGCCGGTCCATGATCATGCTGGCGACGCTTTTCGATTCCTTTCGGAGCACTCGACATTAAAGTTTGGTTCTCCAGTTTTTGTTCACACCAACAACAGATATCTCAATTCTTTACACTCCATGTTGTGGAGGTCGCAAGCTAAATCAACCACTCTTGAAGGTACAAACACATTCATACAGACCTTGTGTAGTTTTACTGAGGACAATCGGGTCTTAAGTCCACTGTCTAATGCTTCAAATCTGTTCTATAATTGAACACATATACATGTTTTGTGTGAAATATCATGCCACACATTACAAATAATCTAACCGAGATAACACATACGTCTTTAATGTTTAAGATATTGATTCAATAAAGGAAAATGACTAGAGTATGTTGGTACGACGATATGTAATTATCTGAATGAAAAATAGACTAGAAATGTATGGAAAATAGAAATAAGCGATAAAATCATGCTTGTGATGTCGGCAAGTGATCGGCCTCAAATGCCGTCTTTTATAGTAAGATCACTTCTCAGTGTCTATATCAGCGTTCTTCATATCATGATCGACACACGTTTATATAGTGACTGTGGCCTAAAAAGCCGTTCCGATAGTCAATATTATAGTGATAACGAATGATACATTATCCAATTCCTTCGAATGTGACGTCATCGTCAGTCGAATTACAAATATTTTCGCTGATTTATGCAAATTGACCCATCTAAGTCAAATTAAGTGTGTATTACTAAATAATGACCCCATATGACTATGCCGATCAAAATGTACTTTTTAAATAGTTTCTGTAAAACCCTGCATCAAATCAACGTATTTAATGCTTGTTTGCTTTCTTGTTGGTTATGCTGTGGTACACAGTGTTCCTTTTGAGAACGTGACATTACTTCCTTGGATTGATCAAGATATACATGACGGTTGCCTTCGATGAAGCAGAAGACGCGTACTCTTAAAGATCACCAGGTCCTATTCTCCTTGTACCTTGATAGGAATCTTCGTGTTGAATTTTGCTTTGTTTCTATTTTGCCAATGTTGGTATTTTCATGTTGTTTTAGAATCAATGCAATGTGACAAATCTGCGGATTCTAATAATTTGTGGAACGGAATAATTTCTTACAGGGCCCAGACAAACATAATTGTTAAACATGAACCAGTAAAGGTCTTCAGTGTGAGACTGGATTATCATCAGAATTTGTCTGGATATCTGGACACAGACCATTTCTAAGGCTGTATTATGAATTTATGTAAGGGATATAACATTAACATATTAGTCTTGAAATGAATTCGATTTATATATCAAAAATATGAAGTAATAGTCTCATAGATCTGTTACGACTATGTTTGGTTGTATGCAACAGTCAAATGTATTATAAGGACCACAAGAATCATACACGTAATGTTTGAGAAACTTCCTTCAAGAACTTGCGATAACAAATTTTAATCGCCGAAAATACCAACATATCAACATAATCATAATCCAAGCTCAAATTCCATAAAAACTCGGCAAAAAAGCCAACAAAATAGAATCATCCCAAATCAGCAA